CCTGGGAAGGTAGGAGGAGGTTGAGATGGGCCTCCTGCTGCTCAGGGCTGCTGCTGCTTAGCATGCCCCTGCACCCAGAACTGTGAATGCTCTTTTCCGTTCCAGCCCTGTGGAAGAGGGAGGAGAGGGACTTGGGTTTCCAGTTTGAGAAGGGAGTAAGTCGTACATAGGGGATTCGTTTCGGGGTAGTAAATCCCTGTCCATTCCTGAGGCTCAGAGGAATTGGTAATGCTACTGCAGGCACAAACTTGGGCTTTGAAGGCAGATACTGACAGATCCGAACCTGGATCGGTCACGGGGAGATTTGCTCTGTTTCTCAGTTTTCCTCACTTGTCAAATAGAGAACCACAGAGCAGCAAGTAACTTCATAAGGTTTTTGTGAAGCTCAAAAGTGGTCATAAAAATAGTAGGCTTTGGACTAGATAATAAATGATAGTTGTTATTTAATAACAATTTCATGAATACCTGGGCATTTCTATCTTACTATTTACTTGACTTTACGCTCTTAAAAATGTTTTTTTTGAGGATTTCTCAGTTCCTCCATTTTTGGACTGTAATGTTCATGCCCACCTCCCTTGCCCAAATCAATCTGCCAAAAAATCTAGTTCTCATCTCTTTTCATCTTATGAATCTGTATCTTATTATGCTGATCTCTTACTGTGTTGTAACTCTACTTCTGTGCTGCCCTTTTATTCTTTGTCAATTCTGACCTTATCTCTAAGAAGTGAATTGCAAATATTTCTGTCTTTCTGTCCAAGTTGAATTTCATATTTTCTGAATCATGTAGCTGCCCTCCATGTGACCTAGAAAGCCCTTTGATGATCCATATTTAGCTGTATCCATCACTCAACAGATGTCTGGGTAGTTAAAGGCCCCCATGAGCTCTCTCTACATCCTGTGGTTTCAAGTTCCTGAGTTGTTAGTTAAAAAGCTTTCATCGCCCCTGCCCCCCACCCCATCCAGAGTAGAAGGACAGATACCCACTTTAGCTATTCATTCATTTATTCATTTAACAAGTATTTACTCATTATCTACGGCATGCTTGATACTGGGTTAGACATTATCCTCTTTGTTCCAAATTGCATTTTCTTAATCTGACCCATTTAGAGTGGTCCTCCAGGTTTTCTGATGATTTCTCTAGAATCAGCATTGAGCATCCAATTAAACCATCTCTTCTACCTGCAGGATTTCCTGACCCCTGGGAGACTCGAAGGCTCAATCGCAAGCTCTGATGCCTTGCTATAATGAACCTGCTGTTCCATGCACAGATTTCAGACTTACAAAGGTTCACCACAGCTCTATCTAGGGGAGTTTAGTTCGTAGATGAGGCTGCAGGGTTCTGCTTGTTGTCCTGCACCTTGGACATGAAGAATGAAGTCGTAGCAAGGGTAGCATGCCTGGCAAATTAAGTAGCTAATTGCCAAAACCCCTTCGTTTTCTGTGTCCCTGGTTTCCCACAGAGATGCCTATGAGGAAAGATGCTTCTCTGTTTTTTGAGCTCTCTGGATCTTCCCATTAGATAGCATCTCTTGGCATCTGAAAGGCAGCTTGCCATTCTGTTCTCCTGTGGAACACAGATGGCCCAGCCCACGCCTATCACTAATGAGGAATGCATACAGAGCTTCCTTGCTGGAGGCTCCCTTCAGCAACCCCAGTGCTCTTCCCTCTGCTGGCCAGTCACTGTTGACCATGGCATTTAAATCTGAGAAGGCTGTTTGCTGCTCCCCCACTCACAGAGCTGAACAAAAAAATCCATTAGGTGTAAGTCCTGGGAAATGAGTTGCATTCAGCTAGAACATGAAGACATTGAGGATTAAGGAAGGAATGGCTGCCGATTCAACTGCCAGAGTTTTGGGATCCAGCTGTCCATGGAGGCTGTTGAGTTTAAATATGAACAAGCACTGGAAGTTCTTCAGTAAGAACATGATTAGATGGCTGTACAGAGGTCGAACAGATGGGATATCAATTTGTCAATGCCATATTATTTCAAGTAGAATGCTAGCATGGTGGGAAACAATTAGAATAGAATGTTAAAGGCACTAAATTAGTGGAAAAAGCATAGCTTTTCTTTTCTTTTTTTTTTTTTTTGAGATGGGAGTTTCTTCTGTCACCCAGGCTGGAGTGCAGTGGCGCTATCTTGGCTTACTGCAACCTCCGTCTGATGGGTTTAAGCGATTCTCCTGCCTCAGCCTCCCGAGTTGCTGGAATTACAGGCATGCGCCACCATGCCTGGCTAGTTTTGTATTTTTAGTAGAGATGGGGTTTCACCATGTTGGCCAGGCTGGTCTTGAACTCCTGAACTGACGTGATCCACCCACCTCGGCCTCCCAAAGTGCTGGGAGTCCTGGCAGAGCATAGATTTTCATATGAGACAGACCCGTGTCAAGTCCTAGTTCTATCACTTGCTGTCTGTTGGACAAAGGACTTCACCTTTCTATGCATGGATTTCTGTATCTGTAAAAAAGTACAATGCCAATATCATAGGCTGTTCTGAAGATCAAAAGGGAAAGCACATGAAAAGACCCTGACACCGTGCCTGGTACCTAGTAAGCAATGAATGGGAATTTCCTTTCTTATTTTCCTTTCCTGTTTTCTCTTTATAGCAGAAAGTTGAAAGATGGACTCCAATACGGTAGAACCAAGTAGAGCTAAAATCAGTGACTCCATATGAAAGTTTATACAATTCTGCTCTATGGTTTTTTAAAAACTTGATTGAATTTGAGATGTAGTATAGTTTCTTTTTCCTTGCTATTGCAAGTCTGATACAGGTTTGATATTTATGGTTACAAATTCCAAACTGCTACTATGGACCCCAAGTAGAAAAGCAAAATCTGTTTGACCCATTAAGGAATGAGTCTCAAGTATAACCCATTCCTTAATGCCTCAAGTATAACCCATTCCTTAACTAGTGAGTCTCTGAGAATCAATTTCACCTGTTTATAGTGCCACGTCTCCAGTATAACCCATTCCTTAAACTCTCAGAGCTACCAAGGAGCAATCACAGCCATCATCAGTGACCCTCGAGGGTGCCAGCGAGTCAGGGCAATCCTGCCATGTATAAGACTGCCATTTGGTCAGTACTCCCTGATCCAGAACTTGCTCTTGGAGTCATTTTTCATTCTTTTCAGAAAATAAGGGACACCAAGAAATGCTGTTCCAAAGGAATTAATAGATTTACCAATTTAACGTTAATGCCTACAAAAACAGTTTAAATAGCTTTGGGGGCAAGGTAGATTAGTTACTGTTTGTTTCCCATCCAACCAGGTCAAAGCTTTTTCGTATAAGAGCAGGGGCGTGTTCATTCCCACACATGGCAGCCCTTTCCATATGAGAGCAGCTCCAGGAGCAGTTATTAAATGGAATAGAAGTTAACCTGTCTATGACTGTGTTTTTCAGACCTGATTCTGTTCTCTGGAGTTGCACACATGAAGGGCCTAGATCATCGATTCTCAATTAAAGATGTGTAGAAGGCAACAATAAAAATAGACAATCTCATAAAGAAACAAGAAAAAGTGTCTTAGAATAGAGACTTTGGCTGGGCGTGGTGGCTCACGCCCGTAATCCCAACACTTTGGGAGGCCAAGGCGGGTGGATCACCTGAGGTCAGGAGCTCGAGACCAGCCTGGCCAACATGGTGAGACCCCGTCTCTACCAAAAAATACAAAAATTAGCCGGGTGTGGTGGTGCACACCTGTAGTCCCAGCTACTCGGGAGGCTGAGGCAGGAGAATCGCTTGAGCTCGGGAGGCGGTTAGCCAAGATTGTGGCATTGCACTCCAGCCTGGGCAACAAGAGCAAAACTCCATCTCAAAAAAAAAAAAAAAAAAATCAATAAATAAAAATGGAGACTTCTTGTCCGAGAAAAAGCACTTTTTGGGATATGATTGTAGAGGATGGAGTTTCCAGTTCCACTGAGAACAGCAACAAAATAGACGGTGGGCTTCAGGCAGTGTTTTCTAATCCACAGATGTTAACAAATAAAGGACTCTCTGGTTCTTTACTAGGAGTTCTCAGAGACTCTATGTACCTCACAGAAGAGATTTAGCACTTGACCACAGAACTCTTTTTTCCATGGAACATCTGATGGATACTAGTGTTTTCGGAGACACATTTTAGGAAGTTGTGGTTTCAGGTATGCTGTGGGGACTCAGACTGGGCATTGGAAATAATTTCCTGATTGATTAGTGTTAGATCCTGGAGCTGGTGGCCAAGAGAGACTAAGTTTCCTTCCTTGGAAGGTTGGTAGACTCTTCCTCCTTCCCCCAATACCCTCTCTTTTCATATTAGCATTATACACCCACCTGCCTGGGAGTGTCGAGGTGTAGGCCTGATATATAGGGGATCTGAGCATCTAGATCCTTCCCATCCCCATGATTCTATTTTTATGGATCTTAATTGTGATAGTGTTGCACGGAAGGCACAGCTTAGCTGGGACAGGAGGGAACTGGGAGTTTTGGCCAAGAGAAGAGGGGGCTAGAGATGGGAAAAGTTGATGCAATTATTTTTGGCAGGAGTTGGAACCAAAGCAGCAGAAAAGAGTAAGTTTTAAGACTCTCTGGCAAAGTAACTTCCTAATCTGTCACTGAGTATGTGTAAAAAAGTGATTAGTGGGTCTCTATATTTATCATGATTACTCACAAATATGTAATTTACATAATATATACAGCACATTAAGTACTATGTCACCTTATATAATGTGCATATGTATAATGTATATGCATGTTATGTAACGCCAGTCTGGAGGCTCTTCCAGGTTCTGCCAAGTATTCCCTAATTTATTTGGCAATTTTAACGTATCTTTTCCATCTGTGGAAAGAACTCTCTTGAGAGGGGCCGGTCTCTGACCTGAATATAATCATCCTACTAGGTCTATCTCCACTCTCAACTCACTGGGGAAACCCCAGAAAGACTGAGCCATAACGAGACACAATTCCTAGCCCATCGGTTTAGGGACAACACAGTGTACTAAAGAGTTCCTGCTTTATGGTTTCTATTGCTATGGGGGGGGGGGCAGGTGAGAACATGTCTGTAGCATGGCCAGAATCAGAATAAGAAATAAGGGCCTAGGTTCTCCCCTGACTAACCATGTGGCTGTGAGAAGTCACTAAATGTCATTAAGCCTTTCTCTCCTCATTAAGATTGAGATAATACCTTCTCTGCTAACTTCAGAGGTTGCTATGAGGGTCACTATGATGAGGGACTCCACAATAAGAAACCACAGTCATAGTGTTTAAAGGATGATTTGCAAGGCACAATCAAACACCAACACAAGATTTACTAAGGTTACCAAATCGGAAGTGCAATTCCACCGAAGTTCGTTATAGTCTATGCCTCTAGGAGGGACTTGGGATGTGTCTCTCAAGCAACACTGGAAGTTTCTGTGCACTAGGGTACAGCAGGTACGGCCATTTCCGCACAGCTTCTTCATGAGACCTGTGAGTCTCTGAGAATCAATTTCACCTGCTGAGAGTGCCATGTCTCAGCAGCCTCAGTCTTGGGGGATCATGGCTGAAACACATGTGCAAACTTCTGTGAGACCTGAACCTGCCTCAGTTTCAGAATCAAGTGGCTTCCAAGATAGTGCCTGTAGTAATTCTGGAGCTTGTTGGCCCCATCACCAAGGATCCCATCATGAAAGATATTCTTCAGGTGGCCTAGTTCTCCCTCCCCTTACTCAGCATTCTGCACTGTTAGGTTGGGCAGAATGGTCCCAGATCTTGGTCCTAGATGGTCCTTCACGGTTAAGCGCCTTTTGTACACACAATCTTAATATTCCCTTCTTTGTGCAAAGCTCCTGCCCCATGCAAGGGGATTGGAGGCAGCTCAGTGGAGCGATATCAAGCAGGCCCAAGTTTCCACTGAGAAATCTCAGAGAGGGATGGAGGCCCAGTGAAGATCTGCAGGGCCTTGCCTTGAGAAGGAGGATCGTGCTGGCACCTGCTGAGTGAAGCCCACTGAACTCTGCTGAGACCCCTCTGTCCTGGCTGGCAGGATCTTCCAGAAGATGCCTCAGTCCTCCTTGCAACTCTCCACTGAGGTAATCCCTGCAGCCACCAAGGTTGTTTCCAAATAAGAGACTGTGATGACCATGACGAGGTGACATGCGGCGAGTTCAATCTGATGATCTGTTTAGTACCTTCAACCTCAGCCCAACTTCTTTTCCATTCAGGCCAGAGAACCTCTGGGACGTAGCACGAGGCTCTTGTTTTCCTGTGTGGGCTTATTTTTTTTTTTTCCTCCCTGGAAACCTGGATCCAAGTGGAATCACTTTTCAGTGACCAGAAATGACCCTCTTCTAAGATGCGTGGGTTCTTTTCTCTATTAAATATCTTTGTCACGGCACCTACTCTCAAGCCATATTAGCCAAGACACCATGGAGAAGTCTCTGAACTTTTCTGAGACTCAATCTTCTTATCTGACAAATGGGACAGTAAATCCAGCCCAGCATGTCTTTCATGCTTGTTTTGAGGCTCCAGAATAGGAGTTCTCAGTCTCTTCTTTCCTAATAAGGAGCTGCTTTCATTCCCCGTAACCCCTGTGATCATCTGCGGCCGGGAGCTGCATCCTGACAATGAAATGGTGGAGTGAGGGGAGTAGGAACCTTTTTTTCTTTACCACTTTCTGTCCCATACTACCTATGTTTTATTCCAATCAGGAAAAGTCCATCAGTAAATAAATATTTATATATATATATATAGGCTAGATATATATATATACACAGACACACACATAAGACCATCCCAAAGTATGACCTTGCACTCATATTCTGGGAGTGGTGAGTGCAAAGCAGCAGGAGGGCGCTGTCTCCCGGTTTCCCCAGCAAAGTTCCTTCCTTCCCATCTTTTCTGCCTTCAGGAATAGTCTGCCGCCAGGGCTTGGAACTCAAACAGGAAACACGCTTTGGCTTGAAAAAGAAAGAAGCTGGGGGTGGTTTTTTTTTTTTTCCTTCCCTTTTTACACAATATTATGACACCAATTTGAAAAATAAATCCCAGTTTCTCCGCTTTCCCTCCCAGGTGTTCACAGAACTAAGAAAATAAATACCACATCTAAGGTGTGCTGTGCAGGCAGCTCTGGGGGCTGTTGGAGCCACCTCTAAACAAACACACAGCCACCAGGAGAAGGCTCCGGGAAAGGAACAAGTGCCCACTGATGGTGCAGAAACCCAAGAATGGACATACAGCTTTCCACGGCCTTTCTGCCTCCTCAGCGGGTTCAGGGAGAAGTTGTCACTCAAAGGACGACCGAGAAACCAACGTGCGCCTGCTGAGCCCTGCCAAGGATTATGCCCTGAGAGCCGGAGGCCGTTTCGTCTCTGTACAGAGGGGCCTTTGTGCAAATCCTCTGGAACCAGAGCTCCTTCTCTTGGCCACATCCGATCTCACCATAGGCAGGAAACCTACAGCCTGCTCCTCGCGAGTGTCCGTGAGGAAACTTACAGAGCTGGTAGAAAGAAAGGGGGATTTCTCCTCAGTCTCAGAAAATTCGAGTCGAGGCCTGTGGGGATGTGGAGGTCACTGCATGAGCCAGCCACACCCTTTTGGGACCTAAGTCCATTCGAAATGTTTTGTTGGCACTGGCTCTGTTAGGGGTGTACCCGATGTTGAGATAGACAGAATGTATGGCAAGGTGAAGTTTTCTTCTCGAAGGGTGGCTTTGCTTCCACTGGTTGGAGAAGAGTGTGTATGTGTGCATGTGTGTGTGCATGTGTGAGTGTGCACGTCAATGTGTGTGTGTGAGTGTGCATTACAGTCTCTTTTTTTCTCTCTTGGTTTAGCTGGTGTTTGGCACACTGTTTAGTCTTTCGAACGACTCTTCCTCCTCAACGAGAAGAAGCTGCTCTTCTGGGGAGGCCCCATCATCATGGGCGCTTGGTTCTTGTGAGTAATTTTAATCTAAAAGCAAAGAGGCAGAAATGAATTAGTGGCATGTACATCTCAGTAGCCTAAGGGAGAGTGAGTGGCAGAGAAAGGAAAGGCCAGCTTCGGGCTGGAAGGAGCCCCATGCAGAAGGACAACTGTCCTTGAATGGCTTCAAAATTGGCAACTTGACCCTGACTGGGCCTGGAGTTTGGCACGGCTGGAAGTCAGGGGCGGAAGCACTGGGGAGAGACAGGTGTGAGCTTCCCACGTGGTGATCAGCCCACACCTGTCTTGTGTCCTTAGTATTCACAGACTCTCAGAATGTCACAGTCAGAGGAGCTCTCAGGGACTCAATCAACCCCTCCGCAGGAGCCCTTTAGACTAGCCTAAGTTCACAAACAGAGCAGCAGGACAATTAGAGCCCCATCCTTCAGATTCCCTGCCGCCATTGCTCCCGGCCATTCCTGCCGAGGCAGTGCAGAGATGTCAACCAAGTGAACCAGGCTTTGGTCTGACCTCCGACCAAGCAATGTCATGTGGAGAGTTCCCGAAGTATTTCCGTAGGTATTTCCTCTTTTCTTAGCCTTCTATGGAAGATCCTAATTTTTTTTTTTTTTTAAATGAGACAGAGTCTCGCTCTGTCACCCAGACTGCAGTGCAGTGGTGTGATCTCAGCTCACTGCAACCTCCGCCTCCTAGGTTCAAGCAATTCTCCTGCCTCAGCCTAATGAGTAGCTGAGATTACAGGCGCACACCACCATGCCCGGCTAATTTTTGTATTTTTAGTAGAGACGGGATTTCACCATGTTGGTCAGACTGGTCTCGAACTCCTGACCTCAAGAGCCTCCCGCCTTGGCCTCCCAAAGTGCTGGGATTACAGGCGTGAGGCACTGTGCCCTTAAAACTTTTTTGAATTTTAGGCTTTATGAGTGTTTTCTCCTGTAAACTTTAAGTGAAGTGGAAGTGAAAGACATCGATGAATTCTCATTTTTGCCTTCCTTCCCGACCTTATCCTCAGGTCATGGCTTTGAAATGCTTAATTCCTATCTGAGTATTGCCTTGCAACCTTAATAATCTACATTATTGTCCATCCACAACATTTATTTATTTATTTTCCCAAGATGGAGTCTCGCTCTGTCGCCAGGCTGGAGTGCAGTGGCATTATCTTGGCTCACTGCAACCTCTGCCCCTTGGGTTCAAGTGATTCTCTGCCTCGGCCTCCCGAGTAGCTGGGGCTACAGGTGCGTGCCACCGTCCAGCTAATTTTTGTATTTTTAGTAGAGACGGGGTTTCACCATGTTGGCCAGGATGGTCTCCATCCCTTGACCTCGTGATCCACCTGCCTCGGGCTCCCAAAGTGCTGGGATTACAGGTGTTAGCCACCGTGCCTGGCCATAATATTTATTAAGCATGATAATGTTCAGAATAGGACGATGATGTGGGAACAGGAAACACTTCAAATTCAAAGACCTGAGTTTGAGTCCAGACACTTCCACTCTTTTGCTGTGAAAATTTAGATGAATCGTTGACTCTTCAGAGCTAGTGCTTACTGAACTGTAAATGAGAAGGATAACATTTGTCTTATTTTCCTCACAAAGATCAAATAATAGATTGTCGATGAAAGCCCACTGTAAACTGTAAAATGGAAAGAACAGTTAGTGAAATCCTTGTCTTGTATTGAAGGAGAAAGAGAAAGATGGATGTCAAAAGACACAGAACCTATGAACCCATTCTTATGGTTTTTACCACATGGTAGCAAGTGACAGTGTGACTGCAGGGCACTGCTGTAAGCCAGGTTTACATTTAAGGGGCTCCAGGTACTGTAATCCCAGTACTTTGGGAAGCTGAGGTGGGCAGATCACTTGAGGCCAGGAGTGTGAGACCAGCCTGGCCAACATTGTGAAACCCTGTCTCTACTAAAGATACAAAAATTAGCTGGACATGGTGGTGGGCACCTGTAATCCCAGATACTCGGGAGGCTGAGGCAGGAGAATCACTTGAACCCAGGAGGCAGAAGTTGCTGTGAGCCAAGATCGCACCCTGCACTCTAGCCTGGGAGACAGAATGAGACTCCATCTTAAAAAAGTAAAATAAAATTAAAGGGCTCCAGGAAATGGAAGAGAAGGATGGAACCAAAAGACATTGTGGACAATTATATGACCTGGTGATAAAGGCTGAACATGACCCTTATGTTGGCTTTCACCAGCCTGGAGATCTAAAAGGGAAGAGAGTCTCTATTTTGTGACAGTCACCAGGTGAGAAAACTGAGAATACCTCAACATCATTTTGTGCTGCGTGTCTTAGTGTGGGCATTATGTTTACCCCAGAACTCATGGAAGGGAGGCATAGGCTGGACCCTGGACACTCGGGCAGCACTTATCTGTGGCATGCAATGTAGCATTCTTTGTGGCACGTTCCCTTGTGGTCAGCCTTCTCTCACTCCTGATCTCCCGTGCCCCATGACGGGAAGGACTTCAGCTTATTCACCATGGTACTCTCTGAGCCGGTGCAGTGCCTGTTCAGGGTGCCACACGCTGTGGAAGTACTGACTGATACGCTCTACCAGCCAGAAAGTCAGCCCGTGCTGGCAGGGGATGTGGCTATGCTTGAGGCAGAGGATGGCAGCTGGTGCCATTTCCTGCGGGTAGAGCCTTTTTTTTTCTTTTTAGATGAGACAAGACCCTTGCTTCTCCATTTTCTCCCTTTAGCTGAGCTATTTATTTGCTCATTAGTATGTCCAGGGCAAAGAAGAGGAAGTAAAACTCAAATCTCTCCTGCTTCTTTTTCAGCAGTTCTGACAAAGGTCTTGATAGGGTAGGAGTTTGGAGCTCCTGGGTAACGTAATATTTTGGTCAGCTTTGTGGATTCTATTACTATAGAACCGAAAGAAGTATGACATCATATCCTCATCTCAAAGGGATATCAGTCCTTTACCCACAAATTAGGGGCTAGCAGGTAAAATAGTTACGATCCTATTTTAGGAGGCAGTTGGCTGTGGCTAAGCCTGCCTTTTCAGTCCCTGATAGAAAGAGGTGATCCCACATTTCTGGAGTTAACACTCAAGATTCTTTGCTAATTGGGCAAGTTAGGCAATTAGCTAAAGTCTCTATGATTTTCTTAAAAACTATTCACAAGGGGCCAGGCGCAGTGGTTCACACCTGTAATCCCAGCACTTTGGGAGGCCAAGGCAGGCGGATCACGAGGTCAAGAGATCAAGACCATCCTGGCCAACATGGTGAAACACCATCTTTACTAAAAATACAAAAGTTAGCCGGGCATGGTGGTGCGCGCCTATAGTCCCAGCTACTCAGGGGGCTGAGGCAGGAGAATCACTTGAACCCGGGAGGTGGAGGTTGCAGTGAGCCAAGATCATGCCACTGCACTCCAGCCTGGGCTACAGAGCCAGACCCCGTCAAAAAAAAAAAAAAAAAAAAAAAAGACAGCAGCTTAAGCTTAGTGCATAGTTTTCTGCTCTACTACAGAGAGAACTGATACACTAGCCTTGCATGATAGTTCGAAGTTCACAAAACTATTGTAGCATGTAATTTCCCCTTTAAAATGGAATAAAAATGTGAACTTCAGTAGGACTGGGGATTGACTTTGTTTGGGGGCTGTTTTCTGCAAATCAACACATTTTTATTACTTCGAGAGAAGCAAGAGACTGAGGGACTTCTTCCTGTGGGTAATTCAGATAACGCCTGGTAAAATGGCCAATAACCTTAAGTGTGAACCCTTCCCAAGCCATTTGTAAGGTGTCTGAGGGGCCAGGCATGGTGGCCCACATCTGTAGTCCCAGCACTTTGGGAAGCCGGGCGAGCAGATGGCTTGAGCGCAGGAGTTTGAGACCTGCCTGAGGAACATGGTAAAACTTCGTCTCTACAAAAATTAGCCAGACGTGGAGGTGCACGCCTGTAGCCTCAGCTGCTTGGAATGCTGAGGTGAGAGGGTCGCTTGAGCCTGGGAGGTCAAGGCAGCAGTGAGCCGTGTTCTCACCACTGAGCTCCAGCCTGGGTGGCAAAGTAAGGTCTTGTCTCAACAACAACAAAACAAAAAAGAAAAGTGTCTGAGGTCTGCACTAATTTTAACTGGATATGCCTAGAAGGGCACAACTCTGAAAGGTCTCAAATAGTCTCTGTGATATTTTTAAAGTTAAAGGAATAGGCCCAGAGCGATGGCTCACACCTATAATCCCAGCACTTTGGGAGGCTGAGGTGGGTGGATCACGAGGTCAAGAGATTGAGAGCATCCTGGACAACATGGGGAAATCCCCGTCTCTACTAAAAATACAAAAATTAGCCAGGCATGGTGGTGTGTGCCTGTAGTCTCAGCTACTCGGGAGGCTGAGGCAGGAGAATTGCTTGAACCTGGGAGGTGGAAGTTGCAGTGAGCCAAGATTGCACCACTGCACTCCAGCCTAGGTGACAGAGTGAGACTCCATCTCAAAAAAAAAAAAAAAAAGTTAAAGAAATATTCCTCAAAATGAGCCTAAGAGAGGAGGGAAGGTTTGCATCATCTTTCAGATCTTAGCTGTTTCTGGGCTCTCCGAGATCCTAGAATGCTCTGCTTCGTGACAATGTTTCCTGCCATCAGAGGCCTTCGAATGTAACTGGACAAGGCCGGGCACAATGGCTCACACTTGTAATCCTGGCACTTTGGGAGGCCGAGGTGGGGGGATCAACTGAGGTCAGGAGTTCAAGACCAGCCTCCCCAATACAGTAAAACCCTGTCTCTACTAAAAAATACCAAAATTAGCCGGACGTGGTGGCAGGCGCCTGTAATCCCAGCTACTTGGGAGGCTGAGGCAGGAGAATCGCTTGAACTGGGGAGGCAGATGCTGCAGTGAGCCGAGATCGTGCCATTGCGCTCCAGCTTACGTGACAGAGCGAGACGCAAACAAAACAAAACAAAACAAGAATGTAACTGGACAATCAGGTTTTGCAAAGGGTGGGGAATAAGTATGGGATTTACTGAGGAGTCGTGAAGTTCAACTAGATATTGGTTCTCAAAGCGTGACTCATAGGCCAGCAGCATCA